GCTTTTTAAAAATATCTTGAGACGGGTTTCACTAACTTGCTAAGTTGTTGTTCCAGGCAGGGCTCAAATTTGTGATCTTCCTGAGTCATCTTCATAGAGTGCTGGGATTATAGGCCTGCATCATCACCTCTGGCTTGTTTACGTCTTATTCACTTAAATTGTGTCCTTGTACTAAAAACAAGAAAGAAATCTGTCTTTATTAAGGATATTTAGACTACTTGTTATAAGATAGTAAAGGGAAAATTAGAACTTGGCTATTATCTATCAGGAATCCTGGAGCTGTCAAGTACGGCAGGAACCTCAACCCCAGTTAGGAAAGTGAGTTTAACTACTGAAAACTTATTTTCATGATTCATTTCACTGTGAAAAGGGTATATTGGGCATAAGTTTTAGACCCACAATAAAAGAGTAGGGAGCACAAACACTGTGCAAGTGGTAGGTTTTTCTCTTTTTCTGTCTCCAGCTTGCTGTTCCTCGACTTGAAATTGTCAACTGTATTGATGACTTAGGATTCACTTCAGAGCTTCCTTAAAAATGAAAAGTGTGACTTGGTTTTTAAATCTTTGATTTACATATTTGCAGGAACCTATTTATTATAGAAGCAAGGAACAGCTGTATCTTCCCTGGGGTTGATCATTTCAGTCAAATCCTTTTAAAACACTAATTGGGAAGATTAGGATTTAATTTTTGTTTCTTAACAACAGAAGATTCTTGTTTCAAAGTTAATGAACATACATACTTCCCCGAGTGTATCAGAAGGTACGTGCTATGTGGTTTTTAATCAATGGTGTGTTTCCACACTTGAGAATTGTGATGTAGTTGTATCACAGATCTGTCCACTGAATTTGGGAAGTTATAGAGAGACGAATCTATCACCAAGGCATTGTATATTTTTACCAAAAGATACTAGAAAAACAAAGCCATCACCCAAAGCAGGATGAGGTAACTGTGGGTTAGCCACTATGTAGTAGTAATCACAATGATGTATATACAATGTCTGCATAAAAGAAGACACCAAGGAAACCAGTAATTGTGGTATTGAAGTTTTTGAGAAGGTATTATAGCAAAATGTGAGCCTTAAAAGGACATTGCAACCTATTTTAAGTCTGCAACTGTCACTAAAGCCCCTATAGGAAATTTAATATTTTTTTCCACCTAATTTGTGGAGGTGTGTGTGTATGGGGGAGGGGTATACATGGATCTTGCAATATCCAAAAGACTCCTACACAGAAAGTGCAATGAAAACAAAACCAATCAAGGAGAATGGGTGAAGTTTATAATGTAAATAGGGGTTGTACAGACTGTATTTCAGGCAGGTCAGGAAATGAGAACTTGCTGAAATTCTATAAAAGCATCAGTAAGTTTTGAAGTCATCTCAAAAAGAACAAGTTTACTGGAGTAACACTGTCTAATTAAGGATCATGGTACAAAGAAATTGACAAGAGAAAAATACTTTTATGGCCTCTGTCTAATAAGATATAAGGGACATGGTAATTTCATAACTGTCTCCTGAAATTGATGATGAGGTGAAACTAGATAAAATTACAGCAAATGAACAGATATAATAGGTCCAATTGACAAAGTAGGTTATAGATAGCTCACCAGAGCTAGACAGCATCCTCTTGTATTTCAAAGGAATTCAAAGTAAATTTTAGGCTAATAGAGCATTTAAGAATAATCTAATGATGTGCCTTTTGGAGAGGCTTGGAAATCTTGGGTTTCTACTTGATCAGCAGTATATCTTTAGCAATGTATATTTAAGTGAAGATGAAAAAGATTATCTCATGAGAGTTCAAAGAAATGTTATTTTGTACCTAGGATGGAACTCAGGGCCCCTCACAAGCTAGGTCAGCACTTTACCATTGAGCTATACCCACAGCCCTTTTAACATTTTTATTTTGAGATAGCATCTCACTAGGTTGTACAGGCCAGACTTGAATTTGCAATCCTCCTGCTTTAGCTTCTTGATTAGCTAACATTATGAGCTTGTGTGATGTCCAGCTGGGAGTAAAATATTAATTCAAATGTGTATATTGCAAGATGAAGGCAATTCCTGTATGAGGATACATGGTAGATTTAAAAAATCTAAAGTCATACCTATATAGTTGTTAACGTGAAAAACTTATGCTTGATTCCAAATTTTATTTTAGAAAGGCATTTAATTATTCTTGTTCCCCATTATGAACTGAGTTGTAAAAGTTCATATTTATATACAGTTGTTTGTTTGTTTTGTTATTTTGAGACAGCTCCCTATATAGTTCAGGGTGGCCTTGAACTCACTGTGTAACCCAGGCTGGCCTCAAACTCCCAGTGATCCTCCTGCCTCAGCCTCCTGATATTATATATATATATATATATATAAATTATTATTTTAATTGAAGAAATTAATGGCCACTGCATGATAATTGGTTACATGTATACCATATGTAGCAAACTGTGGTAGTTAATGTTTTCACCTCCTTAAACCCTTTTTTAAAAAATTTGATCAATCTGTAATGATTGTATATATTTATGTGGCACAGTGTGATATTTCAATGTTCATGTGCATTATGTACTGATCAAATCAGGGTAATTGACGTTCCCATTTTCTCATCATTACCCTGAGTTCCCCTTTCCTGGGTGTTCACAGAATATGTAAGAAGTTATTGTGAGTCATAGTTACCCCACTTGTTTGGACAGCACGGGAGCTTACTCCTTTCTCTGTGTGTGTAACTCATCATCCAACCCACCACCATCTCCACTCTCCCCTTTGCCGGCCTCTAGTTATCATTATTATACCTTCCAATCACTTTTTTAAAACAGCAACATCTGAAGGCGAACCTGTAGAATTTGTCTTTCTTCCTCTGATTTGTTTCATCTGGCATGCTTTCCTCTAATTCCACCCATTTTGCTGCAAATGATATCACTTTTTTATGGCTGAAAATATTCCTATTCTATTCTATTCTATTCTATTCTATTCTATTCTATTCTATTCTATTCTATTCTATTCTATTCTATTCTATTCTATCCTATCCTATCCTATCCTATCCTATCTACCAGCATGTATTTATCACATTTCTTTTATCCACTCACCCTTTAATGGGCATCTAGGTTGGGTCCATATTGGCTTTTTTGTTTCCTTGTTTGTTTAGTTTTTTGAGACAGGGTCTCACATGTATTTCAGGCTGGCCTTGAATTCACTACATGGCCCAGGCTGGCTTCCAACTCATGGCCCTCCTCCTGTCTCAGTCTTCCAAGTGCTAGGCTTGTGCCACCACGCCCAGCTATTCCATATCTCAAGTATTCTGAGTCTCCCTCTCTCTCTTTATAGGTCTGGAATTCTGGGGTGTTCTACCACTGAGCTTTACCCCCAGCCCTTTAAATATTTTTTTTATTGTTTTGAGACAGGGTCTCACTAAATTTTCCATGCCAACTTTGAGCTTATGACCCTTCTACCTCAGCTTCCCAAGTAGCTGTGACAACAGGTGTGTACCACTACACCTGGCCAAGTGTCTCTTTGATATGTTGGTGTCATTTCTATGAATATATACCCAGATACAAGATAACTGGATCATACGACAGATGTACTTTTAGTTTCTTGAAAAACCTTAATACTGTTTTCCATAGTGGCTGTACTCATTTACGTTCCCCTGGCAGCTGATGAAGTTGAACAGTTTTTCACTAAGCTGTGGACTGTTTAAATTTCTCCTTTTGAGACGTGTCTATTCATAGCCTTTGCCCATTTTAATTGGATTTGTTATTTGTTCCTGGATTGTTCTGTTCCTTATATGTCCTGGATATTAATCCCTTGTGAAATGAAGTTTTCAAATATTTTCTTCCCAGTATGTTGTTTCTTTTGTTGTGCAGAAGTTTATTCATCTGATATAATTTCATTTGTCTATTTTTGCTTTTGATCCCTGTGATTTGGGGGGAAGTTCTTAGTAAAAGTCATGGGATCGTATTTCAGACAAAATAAGAGCATTACGTACAAATAGGATCCCAAGTTTAGAAAAAGAAGATGTATGTCCTCCAATGTTTTGCGGTGTTCTCTATTATTTAGACAGTAGTTGGGAAGTGCAGAGGTGCTGAGTTGGAGATAGAGAAGGAGCATTAAATGGTAATGTTAGCCAGGCATGGTGGTGCATGCCTACCTATAATCCCAGCACTCAGGAGGCTAAGGCAGGAGGATCACTATGAGTTCGAGGCCAGCCTTGGCTACAAAGTGAGTTCAATGCCAGCCTGAACTCAGGCAAAAAAAAGGTAATGTTGGCAGAATTGTAGAATGTTAAATGCTTTACTTTAGTTTAAGTAAGGTATTCTATCACTAATGATATATTTGCATTAGTGTGCCAACTATGTGACGTCAGCTGCTTCATTACAAAATGTGCTTGGTCCTTTTTTAGATCCCAGAGTCCACATTTGCTCCATGGGGTTGTTTATGGTAGCAGGATCAGTTAAGCCCAAGTTACTGTTGGTGATCCGGTAGAGTATGGACTACCTGGCTGTTTGGGCTTACAGTGGTTGTGAGAAAGCAAATGTGGCATGTCAAAGAGTTTGTAGGCCTTAAAACAAATCAAGAAAGCTGGGTGTGATGGTGCATGCTGTAATCCCAACACTAAGGAGGCTGAGGCAGGACAATTGCCTTGAGTTTGACGGTAGCCTGGGCTACACAGCAAGACTTCGTCCCAAAAAACAAAACTAAAAAAAAAAAATCATATATTTAATCGTACTAAATAATATGTATGATTAAAAATAATAAATCTAAAAACCTTTGCAAAAGTGTTTTCTTATGTGATTTATATTCTTTCATTTAATAATTTTGATTCAAAGATCAGGCATGGTGGTGCACACCTCTATTCCCAGCACTCGGGAGGTTGAGGCAGGAGGGTTGCTGTGAGTTCAAGGCCAGCCTGAACTACATAGCAAAATCCTGTCTCAAAAAGACAAAAAACAATTAACAACAAAACCAAAATTTTGATTTGAAACGTTTGCTTCTTTTCTCTTTTTACTCCTTCTTTTAGAATAATATAGCTGATCCAGAAGAACTATTCACAAAATTGGAACGCATTGGAAAAGGCTCATTTGGAGAAGTTTTCAAAGGAATTGATAACCGTACCCAGCAAGTGGTTGCTATTAAAATCATAGACCTTGAGGAAGCCGAAGATGAAATAGAAGACATTCAGCAAGAAATAACTGTTCTGAGTCAGTGTGACAGCTCCTATGTAACAAAATACTATGGATCATATTTAAAGGTAATGTGTGTGCTGCATTAAAGTCATAAGGTATTTTCATTATATTTTTCTTTAAATTCTATTTTCTGAAAGGCAATGTCTTAAATTAGGATTTGGCAGTCTTCGTCCTCCAGGCAGAATCCAATTCCATTTATAGTGCCAAATAAAGTGTTGTTAGATCTAGCAGCTGTATTCTGACTGTATCCTGGTACTTAGCTCTCCCTCTTTCCACACCTGAACTTGTGAATTGATGCAGGACCAGGAATGCAGCTGGTTCTTGAGATATATCCTTGTCAGGAAAAAGCCATCCGTCGGGGTTTCCACACACTGCCCTCAGCAGTCCAGTTGGACTCGGCCTCAGATTGATATAATATGTAAGAAGCATGTCGCATATTCCACTGAATTATGGTGGTTATTTCCACATTTCTCTCACATTAGGTTGTGAATTCCTTGATGGAAGACAGATTACCTTAGCGAGTCTGGGTTTCTGTGTCACCTTGCGCAGAGTATGAAACATCTGAAGTACATGAGAAATACAGTGATCCATTGTTATCCTTAAGGATTGAGGCCATGTCCCCCCTAAAGACACCAACATCTGCAGATGATCAAGTCCCTTATATAAAATTGTGCAATATTTGCATAGAACCTGTGTACTTCCTGCGGCATACTTTGAAGTGTCTCTAGATGACTTATGATATCTAGGATGATGTAAATGCTATTTAATAGTTTTATACTATATTATTTAGGCAATAATGAGAAAAAGTCTGAATATCTTAAGTATAGATGTAAATTTCCTTCAAATATTTTCAATCTACAATGGGTTGAATCTGTGGGTGTGGTACTTATAATAATTATACAGGTGTCACTATTTTCTAAATGGAATTAAATGGGATATTATGTATCATTCCACCACCCATGTTGGTTTTTACATGTTCAAGCATCATGAAAATAGCGGCCACTAAAGTTCCTGCAGATGAAGGTGTGTTTGTGTAATAGAAGAAAACCCTTTGGGTAGTAAAACCAAAGAGGTTTTGAGTTCCAGAGTCAAATGTCACCTTGTGTCTGCTGAACTCTAAAGAATAAATAAGTAGAAAATTCTAGCTTAGAGTTTAATTTATTTTAAAATTAAAAGTATTTCTCCCCATATTGAAATTTTACTTTTGCCTTCCAGCGTGTGCAGGGCGCATGTACGTGCATGCTTGTGTGGGGTTGCGTCTTATTGCCTTGTCTTGATGAATGTACATTTGGTGGGCCAGTTACCTCCTTTGGCCATTTTGGGCTGGTTTCAGTTTCCTACCCTGACTAGGATTCAAGCTGAGGTGCAGAAGCTCTGCTATAGGTCTCCACATAGCTCTTTCAGCTCAGATCAGTGTTGACAAAGACTGTGGGGACCTTCAGCGATCACAGAAGTGGTGATGTCTCTTTGGGATCTTCCCTGTCTGTGGCTGCTAGGGTCCTGCAATCTCATGTTCTCTTGCTGGGGAAGTCATTTGCTTGGTGCTGCATTTGACTTGTGCACATGTCCAAGATGGCAGATAAATGATTCTAGTGGAGTGGCCTTAGAGTCAAGGCCTTAAGCAAGGGCAGACATGGCCACTGGGGGCCTGAGGTGGTAATGTATCAGAGTACAAGACGCAGAGCTCTCAGCTGCAGCACTGGTAAAGGCATGCAGGAAGCGCTGCCTATCAAGCTGGTGGAGAAGGAGGATGTGGCATGCTTAAAGCTTCTTTAGGGTGTGGAGGTGCTGTGTTCTCGCTGGTGGCTGAGCTGTTGTGGATGGGTGTGAGCCAGCTTGTCATGGCGGTCTGAAGTGTGGGTAGGTGCGGTTCCGACACAGACCGTCTACCACATAGCTGCTCTCAATGGCAGCTCGCTACAGGTGTCTAGAGTGTGGGCATGCGTAGAGAGACCTTGGCTAGCGATTGCAGTGACATTGGTGGCTGAGGTGTGATGCATACAGCGCAGCCACAGAGACAGTCCAGAGTCCGGAGGACATGTTGTCTCTCAGGAGCCACTGCACTGGTATGAGGAGCGCAGGCACACACAGGGAGGCCTTGGTTCCGGACAGGGGGTGAGCCTGCTGTCTGAGGCTGTGACTCTAGGATGTGAAGCATGTGGAAGCTGTACAGCTTCAAAGCCCGGGTCTGAGCCATGGATTCTGGCATCACTTGGGAGTCAGGAGTTGGTACAGGCTTGGAGAGTGCATGTCCATTTCTTCAGGCTTCTCTTAGAGTGTCTGCTGCTAGACTGTGCTGCTGGGCCGCCCTCCTGGGCGCCCTGGCAGGACGGACTGTATAAAGTATCCCAGTAGCAACACAGAGCAGCCGAGACCAGGGGCTTCCGAGTTAGGGTGATACAGATAGCCTCAGCCTTTCTTCTTTGCTCTAGCTGTCTCTTGGTGTCTGAGGTATGCTAATCTCACCAGTCATATTTCCTGTGGGGGCTATTCTGCCTTCTTGTACTCCGCTGTGTTGCTATCGATTCTTAAATGAACTCTTGACTTTTCTCGCAGTTATTTTGGTTTGTGGATAGCTGTCTTTCTTCTTTCATCTATCTATCTGTCTATCTATCTACCAATCTGTCTCTGGGACGATAAAGACTAGTATCTCCTACTCCTCCATCTTCAGGATTTCACTTTGCCATTGCTTTCTTAACCTATCTGTATTTACTTTAGTTATTACTGGTACGTATATTTATCAAACCTCAACTTATTGTAATGAGTTAGATGAATGAGGAATGAATGCATAGAATGGATCCCTAAACAATGAAGCAGCCACCACGTCTTAACACTGTAGCAGGGGCTGAAGATATAAAAATTAAAAGCTCATTTTCACCACCAGTCCGGCATAGGACTGAAATGGTACAGTTTTATGATTAAAGTTTGTACAAATTGCAGATAAGACACAATTAAGCAAGTAGTCATTTGAATCCTTTTTTATGAAATATGAGAAAAAGGCCCCCCCAAGAGATGAATAATAATGGTAATCTGTATCCATTTTCAGCATTTACTTTTAAGTGTTAGCTGGTACTGTCATTTACTGCATACATAATTTTTGGTGCTTTGTAACATTATTTTGTATTTATGTTTGTTTCTAAAAAACTAAATTAGCAGGTTATATTCTTTTACAGGAATTTTAGGAGTAATCATTCAATTTCAATATATAGTATATATACTATATAGAAGTGTGTATACCTATACTATATATAGTGTGTGTGTGTGTGTGTGTGTGTGTGTGTGATATTTGCTTGTTTTGGTTTACTCTTTCTGGATTTAATCTGATAATTCCAGACCTACTCTAGAACAACCCAAACTCTTTCTATTTTTACGCACCTGTAACAGATAAGCTATTTTTGGTAACTCATGTCAAATATTAAATAACATTTAAAATGGTTGTTCTGTGTCATATTGAAAAGAACTACTGACATGGTGTTGAACATTTTATTGGTTACTTATAGCATTTATTTATTTATATTCAATGTTCTCATGGAGAATGTATTGCAATTGTATATTTTTTTATTTCTAGTATTTTACATTTTTAAAAAATTCCGTCCAAGACCTAACAAAGTAGTTTATATGCCCTGGTTATCCAGTAATTAATCTTTAAATAAATAAAAGCTATGTTTTTGTTTTGACCCAAATCTTGGTTGTGGATGATATACAAACTATTGCCTCAGACATTTCTGAAAGGATTAAACTGAATGATTTTTATCTCTTTTACCAATCATTAACAAATCTAGGATCAAAAGACTACTTTGAAAAACATTTTGTTTCATGATAAGAACAGAGAAATTCACAGTTGATTGACAATGATTATTTATTACCTAAACCTATTTAAAGTACATATACACATATATGTGTGTGTGTGTGTATGTGTATCTCTAATAAACAAATACATACACACAGGAAAAGAGAAATAACCTATGATTTTATAATCTTTTAATACTACCAACTCATTTATTTTTTGTTTATATTAAACCATTGTGTAACTGTGTGGACTTGCATTTTTATTCTAAATGTGATTTTCCCATCAAATATAACAGGGTTCTGTTTAATGCATTCAGCATAATCCAAAGTCACGCCCTCTTAGTGCATTAACAATCAGTGTATGTACCTTTTGTAACTCGTCCTTCCATTTCAGAAGATGGGATTTTTACAAGTGAAGTTACTTAAGTAATGTTGGATATGGGTTTTTCTCAGGTAGTTCTTACACATGTTATCCTACATAACCAAGAGCCTGCTGTAAGCTGTAGGGAAAAGTTACTGAATTTGGGAGAAACTTATATGCTCCCTAAGACTATTTGCAGTTGTAGTGATTTCCCTGAGACATGCCAAAATGAACTAGGTCTTCCTTTTGACTGAGCTCACTGTATACCTTCATTTTAAAAAGCAAGGGTAAAAACCAGACAAACACATCAGTATGACCACAGTGTTTTCCTTTCATTTTGGTTCAGTGCAGATTTTCTTGACAGACAAAATTAGTCTTTATGAAGAGTGGTAAAATAAGCAAACACTTCCCTTCTGATCTCATAATATTGGAGGAATCTTTTATAATTCTTAAATATTTTTCTAGTTCAGTGTAAATCTTAAAATGAATCTTACTCAGGCATTGAACAGAATTTGAATCATGCCTTTATTTGCTGCTGAAAATCACCTTCAGATATAAGTTTAAATAAAGGAAATATCCCTTCCCTATATGTACATATGCCACTGCCAATCTTCTTTATTTTATAAAAGAATACAATAAATGAAGTAAAATATTCCAAAATAGATTCAGTCACATAAGTGTAGCTTTAAACTTACTGTAATACATCTTTTAGGGAGCTTTGTATTAGCCTCAATTTACCAGAGATGTATATATTATGTGCCTACTCTGTGTATTATTCTGCATATTTGCCCTGGTCAATCTCACCCACTTTAATCTGACAACTTCTAAATCCATGTTTCTGATTCTTGCCCCTCTCTTCAGCTTCGGATACATATTTCTTAACTTGGCTAATATTACCCACTTATTGGTGGGCAT